CAGAGTGTGCCGAGCGAGAGGCCGTTGGTGGAGCCCCTTGAGCTTGGTGATATGCCCATGGGGTCAAGAAAAACCAATGTGCAGGGTCCTGTCTAGGGTCCTCTGCCCCCTCCTGCCAATGACTGAAGTCATCTGCAACCTGACCCTGAGCAAGGTATGCTGATCGGGAAGCCCCTTCCGATGAGCGAGACGCCAATCTTGAGGGCTAGGGTGGTGCCGAGCATGCTTGCAGGGGCTCGTCTGGTACGGTGCCGAGCGGTGCCGGTCCACAGGCAAGCGGTCTCTGTGCGGTGCTGGTGAGTGGTACCGGGATCGAGAATGGTGCCGATAGCCATGCCGGTACCGGGACCCAGATCTGGATCGCAAAGACGAAGACCGTCTGTAGACTCGGTGCCGGGAGCGGCCTCGCGAACGGGAGCGGCGCTCATACTGGTGCCGGGAACAGCGTCTGGACTCCGACCGGTACCGATGATCAAGTCGGTGGCGAGAAGTAGACTGGTGCCGGGAGGAAGATCTGGGCCGCGAGTACGACCGGCGCCGAGATGGAGATTGGTGCCAGGACTGCAAGCGGCGTCGGGACCTGCTCCGAGACTGGGAGCAGTGCTGCGAGTCCACGCTCAGAGATGGAGGGCGTATCAGGGCAGGCTTGCCCCTGGATTGCACAGTACGAAGGGCATGCGGTGCCGCGGGTTGAGATTGCGCCGGCTTCGTGAGGGCGGTGAGGTCTTTCGCCATTGCAAAAGTCTCCGGTGTAGAAGGGCGACAGGGCTCAACCACAGGACGAGGTGGTGAGCCAATCCGCACCAGACTCAACAGGCCTACACCCGGTGCCGGAGTCAATGGTGTGGACGATGCCTGCACCCTCTGGCGCTCCGAAGCCGGACGCAGCTCTACCACCAGTGTGGGGGGAGCCGGTGCCTGTTGGAAGGCAGCATCCTGGGTCTTGTGGGGTCTTTTATGCCCCGGAAACAGGGAAAGGCGCCGAGGGGTTTGCGGTGGACGCGGTGCCAAGGCAGGACGGTGCCGTGGGGCCTTATCCGCGTCAGCTCACGGTGCAGTACCGGAGGGTGCCGCTGGGGTGCTGTGCGCCAAGGTGCTTGGTGCCGGGACTTGGCGTGCCGAAGGAGGATCTGGGCTAAGTGCCGCCTCCATAAGGAGCTGCTTAAGTCTAAAGTCCCGCTCCTTTTTGGTCCTGGGCCTGAAAGCCTTGCAGATCTTGCACTTGTCCGTCTGATGAGACTCCCCTAAACACTTCAGACAAGAGACGTGAGGCATAGGCTTAGCTCAGGACGCGCATGGCTTAAAGCCAGGAGCCTTGGGCATGAGCCCGGCTGCGTGCCGGGGGAGAAAAGGGGGGATAATAGCCCCCTTAACCTCCGCTAACTATTTATAACTATTTATAACTACTCTACAAACTATTAACAACAAACTATTAATCTAAAGAATATAACCAACAACTATCTACAAGAACTAACGAGTAAAGCTAGGGAGAGTGGAGAACAGCTATGCTGCGCTCCACAGTTCCAACGACTGTCACTGGCGGTAAGAAGGAACTGAGGGGGCGCTGGATCGGCTGGGGTATATATCCAATGCCACGAAGGCGTCACTCCAGAGGGCTCCACAGCCGACCCACCGGGTGTTGCTAGGGTAGAAAATTCTCCGACAATCGTGCACGCGGCGCACGCACACACCTAATTGGAATCGATATGAGCAAGCACTCGAAGAAGAACGAGCCCTTATTTGTAAAGAAGGCAGCAAAAGCAATGATCATTTGGAGAGTATTTTGGCCTTGCAGTTTCCTTTATTCAGCTCCTTGTGTCTCCTGTGAACAGAGTGCTGCTCTAGGGAGCAGAGTTGAATTTTTACACTAGTCTTTTGCTGTCTCACTATGCATTGAGAACACAGAGCTGAGCCTGTGCTCTGCCTCAGAGAACTGAAGCCTGCGTGTTCCCACCCTGAACCTCTCAAGAGGCCATGTGTGCGTATTTGCCTCTGTGGGGGAAATAACTATTTGTTTTAGTTCTCCTGTATGAGTTTTTGAGGTATGTTGTGAGGTTTAACTAGCTTATGTTTGGGAGGCACTTTGAAGCTGAATGGTAGTCTGAGGTTTATAACTGCTAAGAATTACCAGGGCCTCACATGGTTTGAAGTGTGCAGAGGCCCAGCTCATTGCACACACAACAGGGCTTCTTGCATCCCTCCATTTCCCCACAAGATCCTTGTGTTCCACCCTCCCATCCCCCTGTATTTTAGGGATTCCCTGCATCTCCACCATCTCCTCGCTGCCACGATTCTGTGTACCTTCCATTCCTGCTCCTCACATACCAGGGTTTATAACTGTTAAGAATGGCCATCATTTTGCACAATAACCAATGACCTCATGTTGGCGTATTTGTGCTCCTTCTCTGGGCTTTATTGCTAGCAGCAGTTCAGCAGGAGCAGAACCAAAGGGAATAAAATGCAGATGGCTTTGCTGATGGTCCAGCTTCAACCAGCATACTGTAATGCTGCACAGTTGTAGTGTAATGGAAAAATGGAGAGAGAGAACAGCTTCCAAAACTCATGCATTCTTACAGGTTCAGCACCATCCTGTTGAGAGAGATCACATAAAGATTCTCCAGCAGTGGAAAGAAAACAGAGAAACACCAGAGAAAGTAGTAAATGAGTTATTATATACAATGGTGTGCTAAGTACAGTACAAAACAGAAGACAGTCCTTAATCTAGGAAGTTGAGAGGAGAACAGGGGTATGTAACATTTCAGCAGATGATATTGCAGTTGATTATATGAGGTCTCACAGGAGAGATTTCTCCTGATGGACATGCATCCCAACGGTACAAGATCTCGTAGGAGATGTTTCCAATAGATGAAACTATGGCTGATTGTATGTGGTCTTATAGGAGATGTTCCCCATGGATAATTTGCCAAATATGATGTCACCTAGGAGTTGTTTCCTGGAGATGAGGCTGGAACCAGATGGCATTTCCAGATATTCTTTCCAGCTTGATGAATATTCCATTTTGGACAAACATGGAACCTAAAAAAGCACCTCAACATTTCCAGTTTAGTTTTCCACATGCTCTTGTGAGAGCTTACAAAAACTCATTTTTTCAGCAATCACAGGAGATATTGACAAATCCTTCAGAATATCAAGTAAGTTCATATGAGCATCATTGGGACTGGGGAAAATGTGTAGGGAAGATGTGGAGGGGGGATGTTCTCTGGGTGATGGAAGCTGAGTCTTATATTGCTAACGTAGAAGAGAGGAGTTGGTTGTGAACAAAAGGAGAGAGTTTTCTGAAACTGATCTTATTCTTACCTGTGATCTGGGGAGCAGTACTTTTCTGTTATAGTGTTTGTGTTGTTTCCTGATTACCATTGATGAGGTTCTGGATTCTATCACTGGTGTCTTCTCTTCTTCAAGGGAACTAGAAGAAGGCAGACACACTCTTTAGAACTGCGCTGTTCAATGAAAGGAACAGATGAACTGGTACTGATCTGACAGTGTCAATAAGTTGAAGGGATGTGAAGAACTTGTCTGGGCCCCACAATATTTCTGAAAATAATACTAATCTCAACCCCCAAAACCTGTGTAGTATTTCCACAATTTACAATCAATGAAAGGAGGCATTACCTCTGGCCATAGTCAAGGAATAAGGAACTCTGCATAAACATTGCAGATGTATTAATAAGTCAGCGCCAGCAGGCTGGCAAAGGACAAGTTCCATTGTGCGAGATTTGTTAGATATGGCCATAGGTCAGACTGTGCCTTGAGAGAGTCAGAGTTTTGTGCTTACTTAGAATGGCTGTAGGCTCTAGTTCTGAATTTTCGTTTTCAGCACCCAAAGCCCTGTACAAATTGACAAATAGAAAACCTGTTTTTGAGGTACACTCAGAGAAGAATGGCTGAGACTCTGAATAGTCACTGCGGGGAAGATGATGGTCAGTTGTCATTCAGGAAAGCCCCAGTCCAAAATATGAGGTTGGTCTTGGTAAAATAAGGATCTTCAGCTGCCAGTGATGGTTCAATGGCTGATGGTGGAAAGCTCAGCCTTAAAGGAAAAGAGTTGAAACATCAGCCGCTGAAGATCTATTCCCCTTTTCACACTTTGCCAATCTGTATTTGACTTATATCTGTCTCAATTTTCCTTCTTTCCCTAAGAAAAAGCATGTTCCTTAAAAGGAAGCAATAAATAGAAGACTCTTTGCTGTGGTTGAGGAGGCAGGAATAGCAGACAAAGAACTATAGGGA